TCCTAAATATAATGAAGTGAAAATGAGACATTCAAGAGCTATTGTTAACATTAGAGAAAGATGCTTTGCAAAAAGAAGAATGATTGATTATACTATATTACAAAGAGAATGGGCAACAAGAATTAATGGAGAAAATGATGAGTTGATAAAAGGACACAATGAAGAAATCAGAGAGAAGAAACAAAAATTGAGTTGTATTATTTGTTAATTTTGCAGGATTATGGATTCAAAATCAGGAAGTTCTAAACCAAAGACTCCTCAAGACTATAAGATGAGTCTTACTCCTGTAACTCAAAATAGATTTCAACTATTGCAAGACTTTCCAGCATTGACTTACAATCAAGCTGCTCGTATTCCTACTTCTTCTCAAATAAGACTAATTCAACAAATTCCAAGAACCCTAGAAAAATTCAATGAAAATTCTTATTTCACGAAACCATTTACTCAACATATTATTTTAACCAAATTCCAAGAAATATCTCTTTACAATGCACTTAATTCTTTTACGTAAAAACTTTTCCCTTCAAAATATTTCTGGTAGCTAGATGATCCATCAAAAAATTTGGATTATTATGAATTGATTCTCACTGATACTCAATTTGTTAAGATTTTCCCTATTCCAGATAAAAAAAATCCAGATATAATTAGCTATTCAAAATGCATTATAAAGAAAGTTTGTTCTCCTAATAAATGGACTTCTCTTTATTCAAGAAAATCCTTCTCAGTCAGATTCATTCCAGATGGATGGCATGGTATCGTGCTTTTTTGTATAGATCATTCAATCATTCATGATTTTTTACATTTAAAGAAAGCTGTATTAGAGAATTCCCAATTTGGTTCAATCATTGGTGGCAATGGTTTGGTCCTCAAAAAGAAATTCTACCTCCAAATGTTCTGATGGGATTCCAAACATATCTCAAAAAAGCGAGGGGGAAAAAATATACAAGACCAATAATATTTCACATGAAATTCAAAGTACCATGGATTTTTTACTGGAGTTTCAAAGTTCATCAAGAACTAGAAAAACCACTTCCAATGTCATTAGTAAGAGAATTTAAGATCAAATGGTGGATATGATTCAATCAAGAGTTCTGCGATTAAAAAAATGTTTTAAGATTTTTAGAAACAAGAGAAAAGCTCAAATGGATAAATCCAAATCCGCAGACTACAAAAAGAATTAATACCCCAACAACTCCACAGAAGAAAGAAAAAGAAAAAACAAGCAGCTCAACATCAGAAACAATTGCAAATGATTTCTTAATGAAGAAGATGATGCAAAATCCGGAGATACTCAAAGAATATTTGAATTATTTGTAAAATCAAGACAAAAAAGAAGAAGACAAAAAAGATGAGTCAGTTTGATTATCATCGGAATCTACCTTTGATCCTTTTGGTGGTCCTTGTGCTCAAAACCTGACAGACTTTTGATAAAGATGTTGGCCAATTTCAAGATGTCAATTTCAACATAAGGATAAGAATCTCAAAAGCCACCAATCAGAAGAAGATAAGGTGTCAGCAAATGAAATTCAAATGAAAGAGTCGACAATCAAATGAAGATGAAATTTAAAGATAGAAGACTCTATAAATATGATTCAAAAATAGAAGAAGGGTATTGAGTTTGAAGTCATCTTAAAAATCTCTTTATAAACCCCTTCTTTCTCAGTTTTTAAATTTTCTTGTACGTACTTTTATTCAACGATATCAATGAAGATTCAAAATTGATTTGGCTTTAAGAAGCTTCCACTTCGAATAGGCCCTTTAGATTTCAAAACAGCTTTATCAGTTAAAACTCATGAAGAGACAATATCTATCCAAGAAGAATATCAATCCATTCCATTATTGAATCAATATGCTGATGGTAACTTGATTCTTTTTATACCAAATGCTTCACAAAATGATCCTATTTCCTTTGTTTTAGAACCATACTTAATTTGAAGTTTTAATTCTGAACATAATACTAAACCTTCTTTTTTTACAAAAACAAATAATTGTCCAAAAGTAATATTTTCAAATGAAATAACATCTATTCCCATTTCTTTTTGAAAGTTATCCATTATCCTTTGTGAGAATAAACTTGATAATTCTGTAATAAATCTTTCTTTCCAAAATGAAGCATTACAATCTGGTCTCCTTAATAAATTTGTTAAAAACATATTTTTGTACCACTTAAAGTCTGACAGAGTTGGGCATCTTAAGTTTGTTAAAAATGTTTTATTCGCATTTTAACTCTTCTTTTGGATTTCTTACGAAATATATTACTATTGTTACAGTTAAAAATTCTGCAGCATCTGATTATATTCTACTTTGGTAAATTTAAACGTTACTTTCCAAATTCAGAATACTATTTCGGAAGAGGTAGCCGATTGTCGTTCTGAGGATTCGGCCTTCTTCTTTCTCTTTCTCTTGAAGAACCCTAACTCTTCAAAAATGTTAGAGTTTTCAACCACGAACTCTGCCATCTTCGTGAGGTCCTCTTCATTCATGGGTTGAAGATTTTTTCGAGATTCTTCGAGATTTTGATCAATTTCTTGTTGGACCTCGACATCAGTTTTGGACTCAGTTCATGGAACCCGATAACTTCGGGAACGTATAAGTATCCTATTGACGTAACTATCATTTCCACAAACAATGCCAATTGATGAGGTGATTTCTGGACATACGAGCCGAGTCAACAGCATGATCTCACCTGTCAAAATGCAAAAATGGCCGGGGTCTTGCTCACTGTAGACACCAAAATTTGAGATTTTCTCTTTTATTTTAAAAATAGGGCGTGGCATTCTCCTATTTCATTTCGATACTAAAGTCAGTTATAGGTTGGAGGTTAATGGTAAGAGTAGTTAGGTTGATTCTTCTGTGTACCTGACTTGCAAATGATGAGGAGCATTTATAAGGGAGAATTCAATGGACAGGATGTGACACCTACACCTGGTTAATGGTCAAATGACAAGTTATGGCCTGGTTCAGACATATTCCTGACCATTAGAGCGGTGAGCAATTACATTAATCTGTCAACCACTAGTCATTTCTTTGGCCAAAATGTTGTATGTTGGGGTCCTTAATCGTGTTCAAGGTAAGAGCGAGATTGGGTCGACTAGCCGAGATGATTCTTTATCTCGGGACGATGAAAATGATTTTTTTAAAAAAAATGAAGAGTCGGGGCAATCACTTCGGTATCAAATAGCCGAGGTAGTGACCAAATTAGTCGTACATATAGTACTAAAAAACCTAAACTAGTAGAAATATCAACAAGGTTTTTAGAAGACATTAGTAGCAATCAAATTCATATGACTTAATTGCTAAAACTAATTAATAATGGGAGGTGATTATCATATTTGTATATGAACATTGATGGTCCATCTTGTGACTAATCTCCATTGTGATATTGATGGTAAAGGAATAAATTAAGCACTAATAAAATTGAGTTAAAATAGGAATAAGTCACCTAGTAGAACAGATAAAGATGAATTATTTGGTCTTATAATTGATGACTTGAAAGGCTACATCATTAACATGGTTTCATAAGCTTTTGATAGATAAGAAAGAAATGCAAGCTTATCACTAAGATAAACTTATCAATAAGATAATACAAAAAGAACATGGAAAAATTTGGAGACTCGATTTCATTATTTATTGAGTGTAAATGAGGGGGTTACAAATTTCTCATGAACTTAGGAATTGAGAAGAAACGGGATTAGTTCGTGAAGCTTTTAGCACAACACTTGATATGAGAATCAATCTTCATTAAGTCTTTCATACATGAATAAACAATCAAGATTGAGGCTATAGGGATCTAATGACTAATAAGATACTAGTAAAATTTTTGTTGTCATGCAAAACACTACCGAAATTGGCCAAAATTATGTTATAACTGAATGAATTTGAAATGCCGAGTTCGAGTAGTTCGAGCTACTTGATGAATCAAGTTCAAACCTAATTTGTGAAGTTTAAAAAGCCATCGAGTTTAATTGAACTCAATCAAGTTTCACACACACACACATACATACACACGCATATATATATCTAACTATAATATAAGAACAAGTTGCTTGTTACTAGTTGCTTGTTACTGTAATTGCTTTTCATGCTGCCACGTGACTGTAGGAAGGAGAAGCTTGCGTTTGTTTTGCTGCTTAAATGTTGTTCCCTTATTATGGATGGGAATGGATGAAAATGCAAGTGGGCTACAACATAAAGGGTAGGAGATGTCCTAAATCATTGTCTACGGGGGAGACAATTCAAGTTTAGGTAGGGACTGGAATAGTGTAGCTTTCTATTTCCACATGTTTTCTCTACCTAAACCCATCTTTGTCTACCGAACCAGCATGGTCATGAATGACTTTATGTCTCGATTGTCTCGGGCATCCAACTTTTTTTCCAAAAATTCATCATAATGTGATGTTTACTTTTCTAAATCAAAATTTTCTTATATATAAGAGAGAATGCCCAATTATTTGAGCCTTCTGGTCACTTGGTTCTTTTTAGCGCTTTTGTTTCGGTAAGCTCTCTGTCTTCTTGCTTCTTATTTTGACGTTAAAGAAGTAATTGACATATATTTTATGTTTGACTCTTTTATTTGCATGCTTGAGGAATCAGATTTGTTGGGATATTTTTCCCTTTTTTGATTTTTCCTTTTTGCTATTTTTATATAATCAATAAAATTGTTTTCTTTTGTTACGTTCTTATGTTTGATTGCTACCAAATTGCTCTATAAGTTGATTCTTTTATTTATTTATTTTCATAGATGAGTTGATTTTTTTTCTATTAAAGCAAACTTTCAACATCAGATGTCTATAAAACAAGCTCCTAGTAAGAGAATCAAATGACTCTACAATCAACATTAAAGTAAGTAGCATCAACAAAAGAGTAACTTGTAAAAAACAACTAACACTAATCCCAAAGAAGGCTAACTTCTTAAAAGAACAATCACTAGACAACAGCACAGGGGACTAACTGGCAAAGCTGACTTGTTAACAAAACAACCACCAAAAAAGAGCCACATCCTAATGAAATATATGCAAGAAATTGTGACCCAATAGATCATCAACAGATGCCCTGGAGTCTATATCCCTAATCAAACATCGCTGAACAAAATCCCGGAACTGTGAGGTAGAATTGGGCAACTCAGGAACAATGAAGTCATTAATAATCTCGTTGTAAGTCTGAAGCTTATCAATTCGGGGAAAAAGGAAATGCCCCATATCAATTTCCAGCAATAAGATCCCCAAACTCCAAACGTCACTCTTGTCTAGTCAGTCGATTTTTCGCAGTTGATGTTGCAACATTTCGGGACTACAATATTGAATAGTGCCGAGGACTGTCAAAATGAATTGCATGTTGCCGATGTCCAAACTCCTACTCAAACCAAAATCTGCAATCTTAACATTGTCGTCATTATTTCTCAATACGTTCGCTAGCTTCAAGTATCTGTGGACAATTCTCTTGTCCCGTAGATAACTCAAACCCATCAATATTTGTTGCGCAATGTGTGCGATCACATTCTTTTCATCAGTGTAAAAATCTTTCAAAGATCCATCCATCAGCTCAAACATCATTTGAATCTCGGTTACGCTAGCCCAACTGGAAACCAATTTCATAGGGTTAGGATGATCAAACTGAGCTACAGTTGCCATCTCTCTCAAAATCAAAGAGTGTTATTTCTCGCATTCATCCGCCGTACCAACCGAAATGCTTATCCTCTTCCTCGCATATGCATGACAAGTATGTTTGTTCCTCACCCTATCAACACTACCCGAAATGCCATTCCCAAATGTGATACAAACTCATAATCAGCGGGATCGAATGGTTGCACGGGAGACGGTATTTTCATCACTTCGGGAGCAGTTGCCTATGGGATCTGAAGGCTAAGGTTTGTCCCCGAACAAGGATGGTGGAGGGTACGAGCATCGTCAGGAGGCGGACCGAGTTGATGTTATTATGATTTTGAGACGACAATACCGAATTTTTTTCTCTCTCTATTTTTTTAAAATTCTTTAATTATTAGTTGTTGTTTTAGTTTGAACCACTACTTGCTTGAAAGTGAGAAATGGATTAGTGCGGGAATTGCAACCATTGCAACTCACCTTCTTTGCCTAATTTTTGTCATGTATAAGCCTCTATCTCCCTAGTGAAATTCTTTCTATAATTTTTTTCTAACTAGAAAATACTTTGCTTGGATGTATTTTGCTCTAGGCATCATAGAATCTCTTCAAATGGTAGGTCTAGCTCTTAATGGAAAAAAAAGTAGTTCTTATTAACGGACAAAAAAAGTAGCTCTAGTTAGCGTGCAATTTCTTCAGCCATCATAGAAATTGATGCAAATTTCTTTTTTTTTTTTCAATAAATTGGGGATACATGTATTTGTATTTTCCTTATGATTGCTACAAATTTTGGCCATGAATATACTGGATATATTTTTTTCCTCCTCAATTGCAGGTTTTGTGCAAGTTATAATCGATGAGATTTCCGAAAGGAGTTGGATTATTTTCTATTTCATAACATCATCAATTGAACATTCAACTCAGTACATTTTTTAAATTTGATTTTTCACTTTTAACAATTATACAAAATTTTCAATTTGAAATAGATACAAAATTTGCTTCTGTATTCGATCCTTTGAGGTGAGAAACATGTGAGCCCAACCAAAGGCAGTACTACTTTTCTGAATTATATTTTTTTTCCCTTAACATGGACTGTAACCATTTTTCACCTTTTTTTTCTTGGAAATATTTTAGAAGAAGCACTTTACTTTATTTTCTAAGTTTCTCTGAACAACTGTAACTTATTGTTGAATCTTTAACGAATATCTATCTCCAAATGTTAAATGGCACCTATCAGGAATGCAAAAAAGTTAATATAAAATTTTTATTCTAACTTCTAACAAATCGGAATAGTTTTGGCAATTTCATCATTGGATTATAGTTGATTTTGATTTAATTATTTTTATATCTTGATAAAAAAGTAAGTGTGATGATAATGAGACTGAAGATTGAAGATTCTTTAGTGTGCAATTTTGTAATTAATCACATATAGCTTAACTTTGCCTTTGATTCCAATAAATTTTCTTAACTTATGTTTTTTTTATTTGAATGCAATGAAGATGCTTATTGCTACCTATTCATGTATGAACTTTATGCATGTAGCATTAAGGCTATTACTTATGATTATAAAAATCAAATGAACAAGTGATATATATGCTTTTGAAAGAAAATTGATCACTTACAAGTCCTAAATTTTATTGTGACTTGTAGATTTTTTTTGTGTATATAGTAGCATTTTCTTCTTCTTTTTTCTTTTTTCCCTGATATTCTACTGGTTTTTGAAGAATTGCCTTCAGTTACTGACTGCAGTTATTGATGTTTGGGGTTAGGGTTTAGGTGTTTATGGCTTTAATAAGCTCAACATCATTATGTCAAATTGAAAATTCATGTTTGTCATGTTTTTACAACTTAGGTTACGTATTTGGAACCTAGTAGGAGTCAGAGATTGAATTGAAAAATGATTTATTCGTTAAAATTCAGGCTACTGCAGGACCAATTCTTCATCATCGGTGGCACACCGAAAATGGGACCAGAAAATAGATAATGAACCGAACTGCCAAAGAAGTAGAAAATAGAATAAACAATGGAGTAGAGAAAAAGACAAACTTAGATGGAGTGAAAAGGACAAATGAATGGTCTTGAGAGAATTCACTACATTTCTCTCCATGGCAGGTGCGAGGGCTGCATACATGAACTATGCGCATTGGTAGAGGAATCAGCTAATAAAGGTTGATGCTTGAATGTTTTAAAATCATTGTTTGCACAATCGTCGTTTTAAAGGTAGATAATCTAATGATAGAGAATTAGTATGTAGTGTTTGGATAGCACTATTATCTCAAATAATATTTCGCTTGCATTATAAACACATTTTCCAACCCACATTTTTATATTCCCAACTACCTTTTTATTTCACATACATCACATCACAAAAAGTGTTATAGTAATTATTCCAAATAATATTTCAAATAATACCCTATCCAAACAAATTAAATTAATGATCCAATGGACTATATTACAACAACAACAATACTCTTTGGGTCTTAAAGGTAATAGTAGCATTTTCTTCTTCTTTTTTCTTTTTTTCCTGATATTCTATTGGTTTTTGAAGTATTGCCTTCAGTTACTGACTTCAGTTATTGATGTTTGGGGTTAGGGTTTAGGTGTTTATGCCTTTAATAAGTTCAACATCATTATGTCAAATTGAAAATTCATGTTTGTCATGTTTTTACAACTTAGGTCACGTATTTGGAACCTAGTAGGAGTCAGAGATTGAATTGAAAAATTATTTAACCGTTAAAATTCATGCTACTGCAGGACCAATTCTTCATCATCGGTGGCACACCGAAAATGGGACCAGAAAATAGATAATGAACCGAACTGCCAAAGAAGTAGCAAATAGAATAGACAATGGAGTAGAGAAAATACAAACTTAGATGGAGTGAAAAGGACAAATGAATGGTCTTGAGAGAATTCACCACATTTCTCTCTATGGCAGGTGCGAGGGCTGCACACATGAACTATGCACATTGGTAGAAGAATCAGCTAATAAAGGTTGATTCTTGAATGTTTTAAAATCATTGTTTGCACAATCGTTGTTTTAATGGTAGATAATCTAATGATAGAGAATTAGTATGTAGTGTTTGGATAGCACTATTATCTCAAATAATATTTCGCTTGTATCATAAACACATTTTCCTACCCACCTTTTTATATTCCCAACTATCTTTTTATCTCACATACATCACATCACAAAAAGTGCTATAGTAATTATTCCAAATAATATTTCAAATAATACTCTATCTAAACAAACCTAATTCAAATAATTAATGATCCAATGGACTCTATTACAACAACAACAATACTCTTTGGAGTGAAAAGGATAAAGGAATGGTCTTGAGAGAATTCACCACATTTCTCTCCATGAGAGGTGTGAGGGCTGCACACATGAACTATGCACATTGGTAGAGGAATCAGCTAATAAAGGTTGATTCTTGAATGTTTTAAAATCATTGTTTGCACAATCGTTGTTTTAAAGGTAGATAATCTAATGATAGAGAATTAGTAATTCAACTAATTAATGATTCAATGGACTCTATTACAACAACAACAATACTCTTTGGGTCTTAAAGGTAATACTAAATCCACAAAGCCCAATCACTTTAGACTTGACAAGAAATCAGTTTTGAACATGTAAAATTAAATTGTTACTAATGTATTTCTTTATAAATACCTTTCTATTTTTCAGATTTATATTTTTTTATGGATTATAGTTTTGTGACGTGGTGATACTACTAGAGACTATTTTTTACGTTGTGGTTTTTCTTGGGATAAACAAAGTGGTTGATGAGCTTTTTTATTTAGCAAAATGAGCAAAAGAGTAGTTTAGGATTTTTGAAAATTTTGTTACACAAATAACAAAAGTAATGGAGCTAAATGATGTTTTGACAACCTTAGAAGTGGTAAGCGATATTAAGAGAAATCTCAAGGAGGTTTTTGATATTATTCCAAAAAAAACTGGAAAATCTTTATAATCACAGAAGAGATCCTATATTAAAGATAATTTATTTTCTGCTATCATATATATTCAAAAACACTAGCAAGAAATGGAAAGTTTTTCTTCACCAGCTTATAAAACTTTAGAACAAAGCAAATTTATAAATTTGTATTTTACTCGAAATTTAATAATTCTGCAACTACCCATCTATATATAGGTATAGAAAAAATAATAAAAAATTAGTTTGATGATTTTATCTTTTTTCTTCATGTAATTACATTAATCTGTTAAAAATATAACTTCTGATTATTTCATTTCTTCACAATATAATCCAATAGTAAAACCTCATACAACAAAAAAAGAATATACTATTCCAACTGAACAAAAAAAATTCATTGAATAATTGAATAGTTTTATACTATAAAAATACCTAGCTTAACAATCAATAAGTGGTTCTTCATAAATGAAGTAAATGGTTATATTTTTTAAACAGCCATGCACATTTTTCCTTTTGACTACTAAAAACTAATAGAAATAAAATATTTATCAAAAGATATACACATTGTTCTTTTTACTTTTAAACACTAACTACATTATCGACTCCAAAATTATAAAACTATTTGTATGCTAAATGTAAAAGTGAAAGCTCAAAAACAATTCATTGTATTTTTCAATTATATGATTTTAATTAATGATCCAATGGACTCTATTACAACAACAACAATACTCTTTGGGTCTTAAAGGTGATACAAAATCCACAAAGCCTAATCACTTTAGACTTGACAAGAAATCAGTTTTGAACATGTAAAATTAAATTGTTACTAATGTATTTCTTTATAAATACCTTTCTATTTTTCAGATTTATATTTTTTTATGGATTATAGTTTTGTGATGTCGTGATACTACTAGAGACTATTTTTTACGTTGTGGTTTTTCTTGGGATAAACAAAGTGGTTGATGAGCCTTTTTATTTAGCAAAATGAGCAAAAGAGTAGTTTAGGATTTTTAAAAATTTTGTTACACAAATAACAAAAGTAATGGAGCTAAATAATGTTTTGACAACCTTAGAAGTGGTAAGTGATATTAAGAGAAATCTCAAGGAGGTTTTTGATATTATTCCAAAAAAAAAACTGGAAAATCTTTATAATCACAGAAGAGATCCTATATTAAAGATAATTTATTTCATGCTATCATATATATTCCAAAACACTTGCAAGAAATGGAAAGTTTTTCTTCACCAGCTTATAAAACTTTAGGATAAAGCAAATTTATAAATTTGTATTTTACTCGCAATTTAATAATTATCTATATATAGGTACAGAAAAAATAATAAAAAATTAGTACGATGATTTTATCTTTTTTTTTTCATGTAATTACATTAATCTATTAAAAATATAACTTTTGATTATTTCATTTCTTTGCAATATAATCCAATAGTAAAACCTCATACAACAAAAAAGAATATACTATTCCAACTGAACAGAAAAAAATTCATTGTATAATTGAATAGTTTTATACTATAAAAATACCTAGCTTAACAATCAATAAGTGGTTCTTCATAAATTAAGTAAATGGTTATATTTTTTAAACAACCATGCACATTTTTCCTTTTGACTACTAAAAACTAACAGAAATAAAATATTTATGAAAAGATATACACATTGTTCTTTTACTTTTAAATAGGGGTGGGCACGGGTCGGGTACCCGCCCCTAACATGATTTGGCTGACCCGACCCTAATATATCGGATCAGTTATTTTGCGATCCTAATCCGCTCCTAATATTTTCGGGTACCCGAAAAAAAGGGGCGGGTCATAGGGTACCCGCCCCTAAAAAAAACTATTTTTCAATAAAAAAAATTTATTTTCTACTTAATATCAACATGTTTTTCAATAAAAAAAATATGTTTTTCCAATTAATATTGGTAGAGATATTGTAATTAAAGTCCATACATCACCATTTTCACACATTTCATCCAATAATCAAATCGATCTCATAAATTTAGTACATATTAGAATATCTAATGGACAAAACGAAGTTTCATAATAATTTTGAGTACATCACCATTTTCACACATTTCATACTTCTACAACACAACAAACACAAGGATAATAAGTATTTGGTAACTTCCCCAAGGATATTATGGTACAAGACCGCATCTCAAATAAGTCAATTGTGAAATCAAGTTCGGAAAAGAATTGAATAGAACTAATTATTTTTGAAAAAAATATAACCAAAATAATGTTAAAAATCTTCCCCAACTTCTTTACATCTTTGGAATAGACCTTATGGTATTAAGGTGATGAAAAAGAAAAATAAATTTCTTACACTAAATAAAAGAGACAAATTTAAGAGATATAATTGCAAATGAATGACACAAATATTTTAATTATCTAGCTAACAGAAAATTGAGACTCCAAACAAAAATCTTTGATTGAATTGATGCAAGATTTGCAGGAAAGATCGATGGAGGTAGAATAAAAATAAAAAAGATGAAAGGGGTGAACAATTTTTATAACAGAGTTTCACAAATTTTTTTTTTCATTTTGTTCATGTTTCACCGAGAATATTCACTTTCTTCAAAAAAAAATGAGAAGAGTAGATCATATAGGATTAGAATATGAGGCTGCGAGCCACTTCACTTGCACTTAGGGTTAAAAATTACAAAATTATAAAATGATCCCTACCTTTTTAATATTTATAAAATATACCCTGCGGGTCGGGTACCCGCGGGTTTTTATTTTTCTGATCCGTATCCGTACCCGATTTTTCGGGTACCCGACCCTCATCTGCCCCGCTAAGAAAAATCGGATCGGGTATTCTATTTTTCGGATCGAATCGGATCGGGTTCATCGGGTTTTCGGATCGGCGGATTTTTTTGCCCACCCCTACTTTTAAACACTGACTACATTATCAACTCCAAAATTATAAAACTATTTGTACGCTAAATGTAAAAGTGAAAGGTCAAAAACAATTTATTGTATTTTTCAAAAATATGATTTTAATTAAATGCTTTCGGATAGGCACCGTTTATTAGGGGTGAGTATGAGTTGGGTACCTGCTCCTAACATGATTTGGCTGACCCGATCCTAATATATCGAATCAGTCATTTTGTAACCCTAACCCGCTCCTAATGTTTTCGGGCAAATTTTCAATAAAAAAATTACTTTTCACTTAATATTAACATGTTTCTCAATAAAAAAATGTTTTCCAATTAATATTGGTAAAGATATTATAATTAAAGTCAATACATCACCATTCTCACAAATTTCATCCAATAATCAAACCGATTTCGTAAATTTAGTACATGTTAAAATTATAATATCTAATAGACAATACGAAATTTCATGATAATTTTGAGTACATCACTATTCTCACACATTTTATCCTTTTACAACATAACAAACATAAAGATAATAAGTATTTGGCAACTTTCCCAACTTCTTTAAGGATATTATGGTACAAGACTACATCACAAATGAGTCAACTGTGAAATCAAGTCCGGAAAAGAATTGAATAGAGCTGATAATTTTTGGAAAAAGTATAATCAAAATAAGCTTGAAAAATCTTCCCTAACTCTCTTATATCTTTGGAATAGACTTTATGGCATTAAAACTGATGAAAAAGAAAAATAAATTTCTTTCACTAAAATAAAAGAAACAAATTTAGAAGACATAATTGCAATAAAATAAATCAAATAAATAATTAAATGAAAGACACAAACGTTTTAATTATCTAGCTAATAGAAATTTTGAGCTCCAAACACAAATCTTTGATTGAATTGAAGAAAAATTTGCAGGAAAGATTGATGGAGGTAGAATAAAAACGAAAAGGATGAAAGGGATAACCAATTTTTATGATAGAGTTTTACAAATATTTTTTCGTTTTGTTCATTTGGTTTAGGTTTCATCAAGAATATTCGTTTTCTTCAAACAAGACGAGGAGAGACGGATCATACGGGATTAAAATATGATGTTGTGAGCCACTTCACTTATACTTAGGATTAAAAATTATAAAATTATAAAATGATTCCTAATTTTTTAATATTTATATAATACACCCTGTGGGTTGGGTACCTGCAGATTTTTATTTTTCTGATCCGTATTCGTATCCGTATCCGTTTTTATGTGTACCCGACCCGCATCTACACGGTTAAGAAAAATCGGATCGGATATCCTATTTTTCGGATCGGATCGAATCGGGTTTTCGGGTTTTCGGATCGCGGATTTTTTTGCCCACCCCTACCGATTATGCGTGGCACAACGAATCTCAACTAGTGTAACACTGTTATGTTTAAATGAACACCACATTGCTGAATTTGAATTTCAAGTGTAAATTTTACTTCTGTGACATTGATCTAATTATGACACCATATGCTATTAGTGTATATAAGATTTATTTAGATATTTCTGGTTTAAAATTATATAAAATATAAATTTATATTTATTAAACTTGATTAGTCTTGATTGAACTTGAATGAAATTGAATTAAGCTCGAATAAGACAAAACAAAACCGACTTGAGACAAATTTTCTAACTCGAGTTGAGGTTGAATAATGCACTACTCGATCTCAACTCTCCAATGTTGACGGATGACAAAAGGGATTTGCTTGAATAAGGCAAAACAAAATCGAGTCTGAGTTTTTAACTCGAGCTAAGGTTTGAGTAATGCACTACATGATTTGGATTCGATTGTACTCCGATTCTGGAGGATGACACAGGAGACCTTCATTTCAAGAGAAAAAATCTTTATTTCTATTGGAGTTGATCCGCCTTGTCTTGTTTAGCGTATTCCATGTCAAAATCGTCAACTTCTCCCATTGTCTACTAAACATCACATGTGGATTTTGATTGCAAAAGTAAAAATTTACGACAAATTTAAACCAATAAAGGTGCTTGTAAACAATTAAACCTTGAATGAATGGTCAAGATTGAGACTATGGTGATCCTATAGCTAAAAAGGGAGCTTCTATTAAATAACAAATAAAATTTTCGATTGTGTCAGACTGGTGTCTGCCGTACTTTGAATTTTCGTCGACTTTTTTTAAGTTAAATTTTCTTGGAATTGGAATCTAATGGCGGTTACAACTTCCAGAGTTTCCGGGAAGAAATTGATGACTTCAGTATCAGTATCGGCAACTACAGTTGGGAGAATTGGAAATGAAGGGTTCAGATTAGGGAGATGGATTTCTTCTGTCATCGACGGTGGAAAGAAGGTTGCGGCACTGTGGGGAAATGGAGATTATGGGAGACTGGGATTGGGAAATTTGGAGTCCCAATGGAAGCCAAGGATTTTGAATTCTTCTGCTTTTTATGATCAGAGCCTCCGCGAAATTGCCTGTGGTGGAGCTCATACCCTTTTTCTAACAGGTTGTTGATAATTTTCTTGAGTTGATGGGATCGCAAAATGTCTCGATTTTTCATCATTTTTATTGTAGTTGATGTGGCCAGGTTTTGATGCATTTCTGATGGGTGATTCCCTGATTCTCCTTTGCAGAAAATGGCCGTGTCTATGCCACTGGTTTGAATGATTTTGGGCAGCTAGGAATTTCGGATGATAGAAGTTATGCTACTGTATGCACTCTCAACCTTATTGTCATGTTTTCTGGTCTTCTCGGTTTAGTTAGTTAGAGCTGTGGGTTTGTTTTCTTGTCAGTTTTGGTCAGTTTGTGATGTTACTCGGGGTTTTGGAAATATGATTGCCTTGTTATTTACTTTTACTGGATTAATTGTTTGTGGGTTCTGCTTGATTTAATTGCTTGCACACTTTGGTTTTGAATTTTGTTTGGATGTAATTTCTGTAACGAATCACGATAGTGCCTTGATTTAGCACTCCATTTTGTTTGTTACGTTGATAGGTGCATATTGCTGGGTACTTAATTTTCCTTAATTTGTCAACTGTTATTTATAATTGCTATACGTTGGATTTGCAATTACTTACTATTTCTGCTGTTAAAATGTTACAAAGACTGAAAACTTGGTTGAGTTCAAAGTTTTTCTTTTCAAAACTTTCCAGTTCAGGAAAGATGAAAATTTGATGGTGGACATTGTCGCAGTTTGAAATTTTTCATGGAGATGTTAGTATTGAATATACTTGTCTCTAGGGGATCAAGGTTTTACTGAAAATAAATACAAGTTTGTTGGTTGAATACGAGATACCAATGGCCTAGTAATTTCCTTATTATGGGGTCACCCTGTTATTGGCTAACTAATGTGGAGAGTTGGTTGTTCATGATCTCTTGTTTAAGTTAATATTGGATACTTTTAAATCCTACTGGCTCTAAGTAATTGTTTAGCATTTGGTATTTTGCTCAACAATTCCCAAGAATTAGCTTGACATCAGTTGCACATATTTTGAGTTATGATTCATGGTTTTCATCCATTTTTGGTGTTCTTGAATATTGTTGACCATGTTGAGAGGATGACTTTGGTATAACTTTGTTAAGTTTGATGTTACTTGTTGGCTCATGGAGATGATGATGGCGCACTGCCATTTGATAATGGCATTTGATGCCTTGTCCAGTGGGTTTTGAGAAAACAGTGGCTATAATGTGTTCTAGAAAAAAGTTGGATGATGTGGTGGTTTTTGTCCATGTCTGGAGTTTTTGAATATTGTTCAACATGCTGAGACGAGTGCTTTAGCTTATCTTTGTGAAGTTTGATTCTGGAGGGATTGTGTAAGAGGAGAAGTGGTGAACTTTTTGATGTTTTTCAAATATCATCTTTTGTATTTCCTTTTCATTAATTCCTCTTGCTGTAAACTGGTAAATTTTGTACAATCAAGAGCCTAGTTACCAAGATCATTAGTTTTACAAATTTTCTACTTATTTTGTGAGATGGAAAGGTATATTTTCATATGACAATTTACTATTTTATAAAATGGATAAAATATGAAGACAGAATATATTGCAATGGTTTTGAATTTTTATGAACTTTTGATTGAAAAATTTCCATGGAGGGTAGCAATATTGGCTATCCAGTTTTTGTTTTTGGTTCTTCACTTACTTCACATTCATTACAAAGTTACAAGGAGGATGCCATGCCAATGACGAAAAGTGCAGTTTCTATATCGCCACCATCTCCCCTATTATTTTCAAAATTGATGTCCTGCATTTCTTGGAAAACCCATGAACCTGGGTTGTCTAAAGATATTTGAATTTACACACCTTGCATGTTCACTGATTTTAGCATGAGCTTGTATAATCCAACCTTTGTAGGTGTACTTATTGCTCTTTATTTTGTAAATTAAATTAATGAATCTTTGGTGCTTGGATTAACCACTGCCACTGCTAAATTCTCTAGGCTTTCCTAAATTGGCTGATGGTTATGAATATGAAGCTTCATGTCTCAGTCCTCATACTTATGATGAGCTACTCTATCCAGTATTTGGCCTGGCTGCTAGGGTTTCGTTAACGTACTATGTGGAGTGTCGTATTTTGTTTCTCCATGTTGATGTCATGGTCATGCTATTGAAGTATTGCATTCTTTTCAGGGGGTATAATTAGAATGTTTGATTTGACTTTGTGACTCAGTCAATAATATTGCATTTCATGGACACTGGTTTCATTTATGACCCTTATCTAGGCTATAGGTCCTTTTGTTGTAAGTGTTCAGAGAAATGATATTCCGCATGATGGATAAATGAGTTATTATCTAGACCCTTGATTATGGCTACTTTTGCTTATATTTCATGTAGAATGTTGTTGTTGGTATCTGACTTTCATTTTGGCTGTTCCTTGTTCAATATATTTAGCGCATTTGCTCTGTTAGGACAAAATGACATGGTTGTAAATTCTGCCTTTTAAGTTCAGCTTGTTCATTTGCAGGAGCCACTTATTGTCACTGGAATTCCTAAAGAAGTTGTAAAAATTTCAGCCGGTTATCATCACTCTTCTGCAATTACAGGTTTTAGATTTGGACCTTTTTAGATGCCATGTTCTGTAGCTGTGCTACATAATGTTGATTTTCCTTTTCACTGAGATTTGGTGATGGTTTCAATTATACTACTGGTATATGTGGTTCCAATTGTTCTGTTTACTTACAGTTTATTTTCTGTTCTTGTTGGTGGAATTGGATAAACTTAATCTTCATGCTTTACTAATCTTTTTATGGGACATCAGCTTCTCATATGCTTCATACACCAGGCTGCTCTGCTTTTTAGTTGTGAAAGAGGAATATAACTGAAACATTGTTACAGGAAAATGTTGATTAACTGAAATATTCTTTTAAACTTGCAGCCCTTCATTTTTTGACTTTCTTTTTGTGGTGCAAATGGTGATATATGCGTCTCTGGAGATCGTGTCCTTAACATTTGTTTATCCTCCGCAGTGTTTTCTCAGTTAACTGAACCCTAGCTGATAGGAAGCAATTGTTAAGTCCAAAATCATACTCACAATAGCCTCCATCATTTTCCTGAGTAGCAACTAGTTGCTCACTGAGATTTTGAGCAAGTCATTACTTGCTCTTTCATAGCCAAGACATCGAATGTCAAAAGAACAGTACTTCAAAACAATTTACTCGAAGAAACCAGATGTCCAAGTTTTAGCAAGCTTAAATAAAATTGGTTCTTGAAGTGATGAAATTCTATATCTCTACATATCCTCTGCAGCAACAAAAATCATCTGAATAAAGGGAGAAAAGGAGCAATAAATGATGGGAAAATAAAATGAAAACGTAATTAACCACTGACCAGTAAGATTCTTATCCTAAATATTAGTGAGGATCATCAATTAAATGTACCTCAACATAGTAAGATTAACCTTGCATGTCAAAAATTCTGTACATCGACTTGTATTGTGATTATTTGTTGGTAATTCTAGTAGAATTGTTGTTAGAGTCAGTTTTGGAAAGTCGAATATGGTGGGTTCTTGAAGAACTGGTTCATTTTTGGATTTGGAAGTTTACAACCTATATTACTACTTAACCTGTATGTTTCACCTTTCCAAGCCAATGTTTCTTTAGCATTCTGGACTTTACTGTTAATGCCTGTCTCCTGATATCTATCCTTGTCTTGTAGTGGATGGCGAGCTTTATATGTGGGGGAAGAACTCAGATGGACAACTTGGGCTTGGGAAAAGTAATAATTTAGCTCACCTCTACATTCTGTTGCCTTTTTGTTTTATTACTGAAGTGCTGCAATCTCATCTGAACATTATACTGGCTTGATTTTGTGAAAGGATGACGTAAGGATGTAATGTGTATCTGTCAATCCATTGTTTGTTATATCTTAACATTTTCCCCCTTTTCCTTCCTCCTTTTTTTATTTCCCAAACCTCTTAAGCATTTTGGGCTTCTTTTTGCATAAGAATTTCTCCGATGTAAACCTCTAATTTTCCTTTCCTGTGTCTTGAAAAATGATGATACATAAATATGGAACTTAATGGCTGATTTTCCTTTAAGATACTTAGGTTCTTCTTTTTTGTTTCCAAATTTGTTTGTGCACAGTCTGACAGCAACTTTTAATTCCTTAATTTATGATGCAGGGAAGTTTCTGCACAATTTTGTGTGTGGTCCAAGTACATGTTAACATTGCTTTTCAATGATTTTTTTCAAAATCCGCTTTGGCTGGCCATTTATAATCTGTTAACAATGTAGTTTATCATCACCATCTGTTGTTAGGCTTAGTATCTTCACTGTCTGTAGTTGTTCTTGTAGTTTTTAATATCTGGCTTTGTATTTAGGCATCTACTATGCATTAAAAAAATGGAAATGATTTCTGAAATTCTCTGTTAACTGCAGAGGCAGCAAAGCTAGTTACTCTTCCCAGTAAAGTGGAATGCTTGAATGGAGTTTCCATTAAGATTGCCTCTTTGGGTTCTGAGCACTCAGTTGCTGTTACAGGTTTATATCTGTATTTCAAGTGTGTTGCAAATGCAGTATTATGCAAACACTGGCAGTCTTTAATAGCAAAGCATTTTTTTTTTCTTCGTCTTTCTTGTCACGATTCTATGCGTTTACTGACCGCTGGTTTGCTGTTAATGTCTAGATAAAGGGGAGGCCTTGAGTTGGGGTGGAGGAGCATCTGGAAAACTTGGACATGGTCATGGATCCAGCATATTGGGATTTCGAAAAAGTAACAGGTTCTTTTATGTGGTTAAGCATGCTTTTTTTGTTCACAGAATGAATTTTCTGTATAACGTTCTTGGAAGTTTGAACTGTTATTCATTCTTTTTTTTTCTCTCTTACATGATGTCTTTTGAGATGGCTTTTTACTTTTAAGTAGAAACAAAATGTAGGTTTTGGGGATAATTGATCTCAATAATGGTTCATAGCTATGCCTATATGTTCACATTCGCCTCATTTCAGTGTTTTTGGGGCTCAATTTTGATTGTAAGGTTGAACCTTTTTTAGGCAAGTTTCACTCTTGTTTGTAATTTGAATGTGCTTTAAGGTGAATTACTGTAGATCCTTTTAATTTGCTCCGACTTTCACTTTACCCCCTGAAATATTTTTATCAGCACTTTGCCCATTTTAACTAATCTGTTATTGCTATTTGACATCTTACAACAAATTTATTTGTCCTATTTAGCATTTTACCCTTACTTTGGTATGTTTGGACAACCTTACGTCACTCATTTTGATGCTTTTTTTGGTTTAATTTTTTCTTCATATTTTACTTTTTTTTCCTTTCTTGCTTTGGTATAAAAATACTGATTTGTGTGGCATTACATATACAGTTAGTTGACTTTACATGCTTTTGGTTTGTTTTTCTTCATCTTTAGACTATGTTTTGAGTTTCATGTAAAGGAGGATTGGTGTCGATTGATGTGCTTTCATTCATAGAAGGTGAATAGTGCAAGTCATTGTCCTTGATAAGTTGACTCTGGTATTGGGTTGTAGTTGTGCGGTTATGCTAAGTTCTCTGGGAGGAAATTTGTTTGTAAGGGAAAAAAAAAATAAACTACTAAAGAGGAAAAGCAGGGTTGGGGAAAAAAAAGACAGAATAAGGAAAATGTGCGGAAAAACATTGAAGGGCAAATTCGCCCACAACATACTGTACGTATGGTCAAATGTTAAAAAGTATTAACAGGGCTAGTCCAAGTGCACAAAGTATTGATTAAAAGATTTAGGGCGCAAGTAAAATTTTGACCCAAGTACTGGGGGTTTAATGCAATTAACCTCTGATTTACAATTGTGTATTTTGATTTCTGAGTGTGGTGCCCTGTAGATTTGAGTAGAAGGGAATGACATGTGAAAGGTGAGATATGACAGAATAAGAAAAACCTCTTCAAGCTATAAACATTTTTGTCAAAATATCATGTGATTAGCAGATCCACCACCTGAAAGTTTCATACATCTTCATTACGTAGTACTGTTATGTATTGCTATTCCTCAATATGCCTCGTTAAAATATGCTTTCACCCTTGAAGAATTTTGAGATTGGCTGCAGCAGGAGAAGCTATTATCTTGATTATATTGGGTTTTCTTTTATGCAGTGAATTCACTCCACGACTGATTAAGGATCTGGAGGGAGTGAAGGTAGTGTATATGTCTGATTTTGTACAAGTGTCTGTTTAGTTTCTCAAGATCACGTTCACTGTGAGTTGGTCAAGGTATTAATTCTTTGATCCTTGTCACTCTGTTTCTTGAGAATATATAGGTTAAAAGTGTTGCTGCTGGGATTTTGCATTCTGCCTGCATTGATGGTAAACTATTGACCTTTTGGAGATGGTTAATGATCATATTCTTTGAAGATTGGAATTGAGCTTTTTTTGGACAGCTTTTTCATTTCTGGGGTATTGCAGAAAATGGCTTTGTATATATTTTTGGTGAAAGAGCAAAGGCGAAGATGGTAGGATGTGGATTGCCACAAGAAAATTGTCGAATATCTTTTGCTTCCTTTATTTTTTTCGTGAACAAAAGCTGCATTTTCACTAGTGATATGTCTCTAATATGTGGCTACTTTTTTACAAAAATACAGGGCTTTGAAGAAGGAAAGAGTGTTACAGTTCCATCTCTTATGAGCAAAATGCCACCATCTGAAGAGGTTGCTTGTGGTGGTCATCACACTTGTATCATTACAAGTAGTCTCTCATTTCCATATTCTTGCAATTTTATATTTCTTGTCATGAGCAATAATACGATAAATGCTGTTTTACTAGGGCATAATTGGGAAGGACTTTTCTTTTGAGTATTTGCCCTGATTTTCTGAAGAAATATAGGACTGTTATTCATTTTATGTGATATACCCTGTCCCAATGCCATGATATCAGTAACATTTTCACAACCATCTAAGGCAGTAACATGGGCCAAGTAGTCCTTTTTTGCTGAAGAATAGTGTTTGTCAGTGCCAGTAAATTTTACTGAAATTTGTCAAATCATCTTCGTCTTATCTGGTTGATCTAGTATACTTGTGACTGAGTTACTCCTAGCTGGCTAGTTTCTTGTCGTCAATGATTATTTGCTTTTGGATCATTAAATTCTGTTGATATATCCACAAACATGGATTTTTGCTATTCAGGGACCTTCTTTTCCCTTCTACTTGGATATTGCGAAAACTGGCCCTTGTTGAACATTCCCCAAACTTATACTTGAAATTTGGCTGTTACCTATCAGAGTTAATCCCATCTTTGCTGAATCTTGAAGTCGTTGAAAATTTTTTCTGTCTTTCTTGGGTTTATCCCGAAAGCCTGCTTTGGCAATGCGGGTGAGACTGGTGATGTTTGAGAGTTTGCAAGATAGGTGTGTCTTTTGCATTACCTTATTGACAGAACTAAAACCGTGCGAAGTCTTTTATTTTTAGCAAACGATGTTGGCACGCCAAAATTAGCTTCAGAGCTCTCTCTCTCTCTCTCTCACATACATACATATATTAACCAAATTGATGCGGACACAAGTTTTATATTTTTTAACAACTTAAATGCAAAAAATACATAGATATTGAACAAAATAATTTTAAAGTAACCTTTTTGGATTGAGATTGTAAAAGAGCATGCATTCTTGAATATAAACTAATAAAATTTAGAAAGTTTTTATGTACTTTCTATGACCCTTTTTGAACAAAAATTACTTTGCAGGATAGCAAATATATCTTCTTTAGAATATATGAACTTTATTACCAAAAAAGTACTTTCCTTTTTATTTTTGTTCAATTTTTACATTTTTATACCTCAGGAAAAGTTTAAGAATTATGATGTATGCTGCTTCAAAATGTATTTGAAGACATTTCATGAATAAACCATCAATAAAATGTTTACATATACAGAAGAGGATGTCATAATATTTAGACGTCATGTTGGTTTTTAGTCATTTAGACTAATGGAAAGATAGCTGTGGAGTGCCTGAAACTTATTTTGGAGTTCCAAAATCATTAGCCTTCATTTTATTAAAGTTCAATGTTGTATTAGTATCTTACATGAGCATTTTAGTGAACCAGGCTAGTGAACTGGAAAGACCTTTTTATATGTATATCTTTTCTCTACCTTTCCTCAATGGTCCTATGCTCAGCGGAGCTCATAACAGAAGCTTTACAAGTGCTTCTAGCTGTCGGAAGTCATAAGACGTTACCTGGCTGACTAGCAGTAAGAGGCCAGTGAGCTGCGTGTGATACTGTTCTGGTAATCAATAATATGTCAACTGAACCTTACCAGACTATGTAAATTACATAGTAAGACATACTCCAAACTCCATTTCCTCTTAAAGCTCCTTTTTTAATTAAAAATGTGACCCCCTGCCATGGACAAAGTCCTATATTAATTTCTCTAGGACTTTCAATGAGTTAAATGGAGATCTTGAGCCTTTCCACTTAGTGCCAACTGGTTTTAAGCTGGATGCTCATGATCTTTTCCATGGTTTGAGAGCACTGTCTTGGGTTTCAGTTCATACATCTCAATCGACAATTCCCCATGTAACTTCCATCCTCTGTAGGCTGTTCCAATTCAGGAATCTTCGTCTGTACAAGTCAAAGTCATTTGTTTTTTTGGGGGGGGGGGGTGTTGAAGGTACAAATTCTGGCATCGTTTTTCAGGGGAGTTCCAAAATAGTTAATAAAGATATGGTCTGCTACTCAATTGCCACTTGGTTTTGTTCAGTTTGAGAGCCACCCTTTCTCCTTGTCCATGAATCTTTGCTGGAGTTGTACACCAAGAATTAAGCAAATACCAAATGTAATCTTCCTAATTGGTTTCAACTTACTTGGCTGATCGGCTGAATTATTAAAATTTTTCAAATAACATAAATACCAAAGATGAAGTAAAATGCCAGCTAGAATTTCCCTAATCCATTTGATGTAAATTCAATTGTCTGCTTGTTAGCATGGCTTTACATAAGATACTATTACAGTTATATCTCTTGGTTGTTATGATATGAAGTGTGATTTCTGTTGTTTCTCGTTTTGGAGATTCTGTAAATTGTCCTTTAATCTGGAATTTTCTTCTATTTCATAGGTGGTGGGGAGCTGTACACATGGGGCTCAAATGACAATGGCTGTCTTGGTATTGGGTATCTTCCTTGTTAATGAACTTAGATCTAAAAGTTTAGCCAATGAGTTAATGTTTTTGTTTCTTATTGACTTCTCTGTGAGCTAATCACAGAACTATTGGATAATTAACTGAAGCCTAAATTGTTTGTTCCAGATCAACTGATGTTGTTCATTCACCTGAAAGAGTTAAAGGTCCATTTGTGAGGCATCCTGTTTGTAAGGTTTGTAACACAAATTACCAAATTAGTCAAGTAGCGATTCTTCTCTTAAATTTTCCTGCAGAGAGTTTAATATTAGGTGAAAATATTTCCTGGCCATTAATTTTGCTTTTGGTAAAACAACCTTCTTCTGATTAGGGAACATGAGGTAACAAAGAAGATGATTTAAAATGTGACATGTATGACCCTGGCAAACATATTGTTTCCCAATTTTTAAGTTTTATTTATTTTGTTTTTAAATCAAAACCACCTTGGAGTGGTGTTGTTTTTAGCCCTGGGGTTTATTAAGTTGGTAAAGTAATTACAGGAATGGAAAGGGACATACAAATCCGATTTTCTGTAATATCAATTATAAACGCTTGATATAGGCATATCTAAATTCTGCAATTTGATGAACCTCTTTAATTGCATAGATATGGATGTTGGATATCGTGTTTACAGTGACATCCTTCATTAGCTGGAAAATAAGTTTGAGTGGCTTCTGAAAATATGTTTGAAATAGAAACTTCTCCCTTGAATAAGAAACCTGATTTGTTAAATTGAATACGAATTTACTGCAGTAGATTGGAACAGCCATTAATGTGTTTCATAGGATTTTGATGTACAACCCCCAAGCACCTGGGACTGATTCTGCTGAATATATATGCAAACTCCACCTGATTGAGCTAAACCCTCAGCTTCCAAGTTTCTTTTGTCCCATAAATTTGTAAAATCCTGCTATCATACCACCATTCTGACTGCTGATAATGCCACCTGGAGCAGCATATGCAAGCTGGTGTTTGTATTGGCTGCTGGCTTTAACTTGAGCTTTTAAGGATTTATCATTAGACTTTTCTTTATGATTCTAAATTTATGTGTTATTAGGTGTCCTGCGGTTGGAAGCACACTGCAGCAATTTGTGGTAAGGACATTAAATGTGAAGCCTTAGACATTTTTACTGTTTCTATAGATAAATTGTTCTGCAATTTGAAAGTCAGAAGCAATTTTATGTACCATCATAGTTATATCCAGAGATTCTCCGCCTCATTTAAATATTCTGCTTTAAAATTGCATGAGATTTTCATTATCATGACCTTTTGCAGGCAATATGGTAGCCAAAGGCAGTTTCTTGGGGAGTATTAATTCTACTTCCTGTATATGCTTTCTATTCTTTGAATACTTTCTTTAGTTTTGGCATGTTGAATCCCTCAGCTTCGCCTTATATAGACAATGCCATTGTGGACAAGTTATTGAAGCTCATTTCTAATGAACTGTCAACATTTTGGTCGGTCTCATGCTACTAAAAAAAATGCTTGAAGAGATTGCCAGGGAAAATGGAATATTTTCACAGCATAGTATGGCAAAATTGCAGGTCTCCAAATAGATTTGAAATCATGGTGTTGCCTTAATAGGCATAAACACAAAAATAAAAGGAAGAGGAGGGAAAATCTTGTTGGTCTAGTAGAAATACTGAAAAGCCGAAAGAAAATGAAAGAGAGAAGTCATGTCAAAACTGGAAACGAAAGAATCTTCTATATTACTAGTTAGACCAACTAGAGCTTGAAAAGATATTCTGGTGAGCTCTCTCAAGACATGCTGAATAAGCGTGTCGAGTGACATCATCTGCTGAACCTATTTTTCTATTGCCTCTCTGCCTTTTTTTTTTGCTTTCAAAAAAGAGGATCAATAGTGGTTTCCCACTTACCCCATGATGGCTTGAACCTGTGACCTCTCGGTTACAGGTGAATTATCTTATCAACTAGGCCATGCTTCGCTGTCTCCTCTCTGCCAATTTGTATTTCCTTTATTCTTGCTTCTTTTGTTCTTCCCCTTCCTGCACTTTCCATAACTTGCTTCTTGCAGTAACCTCCAACATTATTTTAGATTAGTTTCTGCTCCAAACTTGCAATTCAGCCAAGTCTCTTTTTTTTTCCATTTTTTGTTAGGTGCGTTTTCTTTGTAGCATATGCACGTGTATACGTATTGGTGTACTAGTGAGCCTTTTCTTGGTTTTCCCTACAGCCTTTTTTTTTTTTCCTTTTTTTGGGTGCATTGTCTAGTCTGAGTTTTAGATTGATCCTTCTAGCTGCTTTTCAAATTAATTTTTATAAGCTCATTTCTCATTTTCAGATTAGGTAATTTATATTTATTGCTTTTATGGTAGAATATATACTACTAAAGCTTAACTTTTTTTTTTTAATTTCTCTTTTACTAACTAACCAGGGGGTAATCTGCATTGCAGGGGGCAATATGTACACCTGGGGCTGGGGTGGTTCACATGGAACTTTTTCTGAAGATGGACGTTCTTCTGGTGGCCAACTGGTCTGTACCTACTCTTAAACTATTGTGTCCAATGTATTTATCTTTCTAGTTGCCTATTTGCTTTAGTTGGAAAAGATTTTCTAGTTTTTCTCTGCCTGGGGATTTGCAAGAAAGAAAAGTTCAAAGAAGTAGGTAGAACCATTTTATAATCTCTGAAATCCTCACACTATAAGGGTTGTAGAGTTACAGAGAATTTCTTCCTCTCTTGCCTCGTGAATGGTGCTATGTTTCCAATATTAACTTTTGTCATATAGACCTTTCAGGTAACTAGATAATCAGCATAAAAAGGTCTATAACACACGAGTTTCATCCTTGTATTGATTTCAACATATGCTGCTCTTTTAACTTTTGAATCAGATTTGTGATGTGCTTTAGACAGGAAATCAGAGCTAGCTCTTTTCTCAAGAAACTACATAGCTTAGATTGTTAATGTTCTTGTGAACCTCATGTACCACACTGGTATATTTTACCCTCAGTCTAGTTTTCTCCTCTTTGCCATCTTTTTACCACTCCGTCTGTTGCCTTCCTTTTCACTCCCTCCATCTGTTGCCTTCCTTTTCATCCCCTCCGTCTGTTGCCGTCCTAACTAGTCTTGTTGAACTGTTGGACCAAAGGCTTATTTGTGTCTGTGATTTGGTAATGCTCATTGGGGAGTGGCTCGGGGGAAATCTAAGGGGTGGCGGTCCTGAAATGTCCATGAGTTGCTAAACGATTAGAGTATGATATCTTCCATACTTCTGTGCTGCAGTAGCTGATATTGGCAAAATAGGAAAAAGAAAGTATTTGCTAGCTGTTCATCTTGTACTTTTAAGGTCTTTATTAGGGGAAGAACCGTTTGTTATTGTGGGAATTTTGTCATGGAAGCCAACCTGTTTATTGGTAACTCGAACATGATGTAGCTTGGAGGAGGATATAAACCTGACCTTTGACACTTTTATGAAAACAGAGAGAATAAAAGCCTGACTTGTCTAGCCTAAACAAACATTGCAAATCACGCAGAGGTCTCATTTTACTTTTAAATTTTACAAGGTATAGCCATTTTTTAGTTCTCTTTTTTTTTTTAAGGCGAAGCAGGAGGCCTTGAGACTTCGCATTTCAATGTCGAATGAATTAGTTTTTGACCTTTTGGCTTATTTTTTTTATCTACTTTTCTTTGTACTTGACAATCGTTTTTTTCCTTCTTAAAAAATTGGTTGCAAAGACTGCAAGAAGAAACAAGGCAGAAATCCTTCTTAACTTGGAAAACTAATTACATGTCTGAGCCATGATTCTTACAAAACATAATGGAGTTTCAACTTTTACGAGGTGGGGGACAAGATTCCTTGTGTAATTGTACAAAAATCATGTGGTAAATTTGATTATTTTCCATTAAACAAGAACTTGAAAAGATATGGATGATAACACTGTTGCATATTGTTGAGTACATTAGCCAATTTGAAATTTGGAACTTCTCTGCTTATAATTTAGGTTGTCTAAAAAAATTCGTTCGTTCATTTTGTTTTCAGTGCTTCTGTTCATATTATATAACCTCATGGTGTTCAGGCATTCTTGTATAATGAGATGAACATAATACGTGTTTGAACATGATGTTCGAATTTTTACAAGAGATTTTTAATAATCACTTTTGCCTGGTTGGCTATTTGATTTGTGTAGAAAATGATGATTGGCTCGACACAAATTTCATTATTCAACGTGATGCTGCAAACTTTCTTTTAAATCTGGAAAATCTCATTAGAGATTTTAAGTGCCTTACTCTGGGGTTTTTTAAGTTGTATTACTGCAGCACATGTTCTCTAAATTCTTGCTTTCTACAAGTACCTGTATGATCATCATATTTATTCAGTTGTTTTTCTCTGCAGGGGCAAGGGGATGACATTGACTACATTGAACCTAAGGCGATTGACTTTTGCAATAAAGTGAGAGCATGGCAAGTTTCATGCGGATTTAATCATACAGGGGCTATACTGGAAGTTGACAAAGAACCACTTTAATAACATAAGGTTCTTTTTTGTCTTTCAAGAATGCTGTGAATTTCTCCACCAGCAAATTTTCACCTCAGTGAAAATGCGGTATTTGGAACCATGCATGTGATATCTGCAATTTCATCCTCAGGTGAAGAGTATATGAAAGTAATCTTCGAATCAGCTGATTCCCATAAAATCAGAAGTCAAGTTTAGGTGCGCTACGTTTCAGCCAAAGGAAATAAAAGACTAGATGCAGTTATTTATCAAATAATCACGTGAAAGGAGTACTTTGTGAAGAAATATATTATTTTCATTTATATTCTCTTGTATAAGGTACATTCAGCACTGTAAAGTTGTGACTTCGAAAAGAGACCCTCTTTGAACCCTGTAATGTGATATCACAGGTTTTCATCAATGCATTCAAAGCAAACCCTAGCTCCCAAGTCGGTAGGCTAACTGGTACCTGGTTTTTACTGGTCTGATTCGTTTTGGGAAAATGTCGGTTTTCATCCCCAAACTTTGGGTTCTGGACACATTTCATCCCTCAACTTTTGGGCATGACATATTTGGTGTCTGAATTAACAATTTTTTACCAATGTCATCCTCAAACGGCAATTTAGCCAATTTTTAACGGAACTGGTCACGTGAAAATCATATGACTATTAAGTAAATGTCCTTCTCCGAAACAAAATTAGGTAATTTAGGTGAAAATGAGATTGTCTTCGCTTTTCTTGTTCGAAACCTAATCTGAACTTTCTCTTTCTCTTGCACTTATATTTCTTCTCACCCTTTTCCCTTTCCCTTGCCCTTCAAAATTGCATTCTGTGAAATTTTTGAAGATCAAAGAAGCTGACCTGCTGTGATTAAGTAAGAAAGTGGGCAGGAAAATGTCGGTGCGAAACAAAGAATTGAATGATTGTGCACTCCCAAATTATGGTAAATTGTCTAGGGTTTAATAATTTGTTAATTAAAGTGTTAATAATGAAAAGTTTGACCTTTTTTTGGCATTCTATGTAGATGTGGTCCTTCATGTCTGTTTGTGTTGTTTTATTGTTAACGTTGGGTCCAGCTACAAAGTTTGACCTTTTTTTTTAATATGATACATAGAGGCCCTTGATGTCTGTTTTGTGGGTGTAATCTTGTTAATGTTTGGTCCACATTGTTTGAAAAGATTAATTTTTTTAATGGTTAGAACATATATGTTTGGGTCCAGCTACAAAGTTTGACCTTTTTTTTTTAATATGATACATAGGGGCCCTTGATGTCTGTTTTGTGGGTGTAATCTTGTTAATATTTGGTCCACATTGTTTGAAAAGATTAATTTTTTTAATGGTTAGAACATATATGTTTGAATAATAAACTTGTGGTCCCTTTTGGATTGTTAAGCTTATAATAAAAAGTATGAGTTTATTCGATTCTGTTAAAATATGAAAGTAATGGTTTGGTTACTTATTCAGTATTTGATATATGCCTTTTTTTTAATCATCAGAACAAGGTATCTCACTGATTACACTAAGATGTCACTGTAGAGGATTGATTTTTTACACTCCTCAACCACATTATGAGGGTGGAGATGTATGTGTCCTTGATTATGTTGAGAGTATAGGTTTGAGTATTTTTGAAATGGATAGATTGATTGAAGATGCTGGTGTCTTTGGTCACAAAGTGTACTATGATTGGTAGAATAATAAGTTTAAAAGGATAGACAATAGTAGAGAATTGTATGGATATATTCAAAGGACTACTAGTTCAATTAGGGAAATTATCTTGTACCCTGAAATTTCATTCCATGAAATTCTGGTTCACCAACTTGGCTGTGATCCTTATGAGGTTGATGAGAATGAAGAAAGTCATGCTAATGATAAAGATATAACTGCAAATCATGACCATGAAGGGGGGAGGGAATGATAATAATTATTCTGATTCATCCAGTGAATCTTTCTTCTCAGCAGTAGATTCTGATTATAATCAAAGTGAAGAAAATGATGTTGATTTCAATGATAACATAGATAAAAATGCTGAATGGTTGGGTGTAGAACACTATAAGGAATTGCAAACTAATTCGGCAAAACAAGGACAGGTTGAAGCTAATTTGGTTCAATCTGAAGATAATGATGTAGCCCGTGATTCTGAATCAGATTTTGAGAGTGTGCATAAGTCTGATGATGAAAATGGTAGTAATAGGTGTGTTGTGTTCAATTCCCAGGACATGGATAATCCAAAATTGGAATTAAAGATGTTTTTTAGTACCATCAAAGAGTGCAAGTTAGCTATTATAAATTACAGTATGAGACAAGGTAGGCCTTGTAAATTTGTGAAGCAGGATTTGGTTAGATTGAGGGCAAAATGCAGAAGTGAAGGCTATAATTGGCAGATCTATGCTAGAAAATTGGGTGGAGAAGGAAATGTGCAAATTAGGACATTTGAGGACATTCACAAATGTGGCTTTACCTATCAAAATCCACTTGTAAATTCTGGATGGGTTGGTAGAAAGTACTGTGAGGAATTTAGATCCAATCCTAAGGTAGATGTGGAGCATTTTAGAAAAACAGTGATGAAAGATAACAAATGCTTCTTCATAAAAAAACAAACATATAGGGCTAGAAAAAAGGGTTTGGATATTAATCATGGTAGTGAAAGTGACCAATACAACAAGTTAGGAGCGTATATGCATGAAATTCAAAAATCTAATTCTGGTAGCTCTATCATATTAAAGACTGTGGATGGCACTTCAAAAGGGCAACAAAGGTTTCAAAGACTTTACATGTGCTTTCATGGAGTGAAACAAGGCTTTTTAGTTGGGTGTAGACCCTTGATTGGGGTAGATGGCACATTTTTAAAAGGAACAGTTGGGTGGGTTCTATTGATTGCTATTGGACTAAATGTCAATAATAGCATTTTTCCAATTGCATATGCTGCAGTTGAGGGTGAAAACAAGGTATCCTGAACATGGTTCTTCAAGTTACATAAAAAGGATTTGAAAATTGAGAGAGATTATGAATGGACTATTATGAGTGACAAGCAAAAGGGACTAATTCAGGCTTGTGGTCATGTTTTTTCAAATACAGCTAGAATGTTTTGTGTAAAGCACTTACACAGCAACTTTAACTTTTCTACTTCTGGGTTCAAAGGGGAAGCTCTAAGGAGAGCATTTGTGGGCTGCTGCAAAGGCAACTACACCAGTAGAATTTGTTAGCAAAATGGAAGACATGGCAGCAATTGACTTGGATGTTGCCAAGTGGTTTGATGATAAACCACCATCTCAATGGAGTAGAGCTCACTTTAGCACCTATTTGAACTGTGATGTCCTATTGAATAATATTTGTGAATGTTTCAACAGTAAAATTTTGGATGCTAGATAGAAGCCAATCATTGAAATGATGGAATTGCTAAGGCTGTATATGATGCAAAGAATGCAGCAGAATAGAGATATTGCTAGACAGAAATGGAAAGACTATATGTATTGTCCTAGAATCATTGAGAGAGTACAAAAAAGAATAGATAAGGCAACACAATGTTTTCCTTTCAAGTCGAATGATGACTTGTATGAAGTTTTCTGTCCATATGGTGACCATTAAAAAGCACACTTGTTCATGTAGGAGATGGGAGCTGATAGGAATTCCTTGTCCTCATGCAATCGCTGAACTTTGACTAACTAAAAAGGATCTCATGTTTTATGTATCCAGTTGGTATATAGTTGAGACATACCTAAAATGCTAGAAGGAGCAATTTATCCAATGAATAGGGAAAGAAATTGGGAGAAAACTGATGTTGATAGTCCAAAACCCCTTTTCTATGGTAAAGCAGCTGGAAGACCAAAAAAATAAAGGAGAATGACTGCTGATGAGGAACAAGAAGCAAAGAAAAAAAAGACGAACAAAATGAGTAGAGTGGGGCAGGTAATAAGATGCAAATATTGTTTGTAAAAAGGTCACAATGTGAGATCTTGTAAGCTTAAAAAGGCTGAAAACAATGCCTCGGGATCTAGTATACAGAGCAATGAAGTTGCCTACAATGCAAGATATGATGAAGTTGACAGTGGAGACTACAATGAAGCTAATTGCACTGAGGTTCTGGTTACATGTACTCCCCAAAATATTTGACAAGAATTCAAATAATAAGTCTGCCAAAATACCAGTAACCCTTTTATTACAATTGTTATTATGTTACAGTTTCATTTTCTCTCCTTCTATTCAATAGTTTATAAAAATGAAGTCACTGCGGGTTGTTTTTCTTTCTTTTGCAGAAAAGATCACATGCAAAAAGTAGAGTTCAAGATGAGTCAATGCATGATACAACAAAGTTTGCAAATTCAACTGTGAGTGTGGTACATATTCACCACAGCAACAAAGTTTATCATAGATAAGGGATTGCAAAAGGATAAGTCGATGTTTGTGACCATCATAAGAGAAAAAAAAACCTGCCGACGTGCGAGTCTAAACAATCGGTGCCAATTTAGCATGAAATTGAAAAGGTTCTAGCGAAATTTAAAGATGTACTGCTTGAAAATTTATTAAAAAAATTTTCTCCAAAGCGTGTCGTGGATTACACGATATAGCTGGTGGAGGGCATGAAACCAGTCTTCCAACCGCTGTACCGCATATTGTCTGAAAAATTAGAAGAATTAAAAAAGCAACTTAGGAAACTTTTATAGTTCAAATTCATAACTCCCTCCAAAAGCCTCTTTGGTGCGCCGGTTCTTTTTCAACACAAGAAGATGTTATCTTACGTATGTGTAACGATTATCGGACGCTCAACAAAATAACAGTGAAAAACAAATATTTCGTACCTCTCATAGCAAATTTGTTTGAAAAATTCTGTCTAAATTTGACCTATGCAAGGGATATTACCAAGTAAGGATTAAGACGAGAGAATATGTCAAAATGGCAATTACCATGAGGTATGGATCGTACGAGTTCAACGCGATGTTGTTCGAACTAACAAACTTCTAAATCACATTTTGCATGCTTATGTAAGAAGTACTGAAGGAATTCTTAGGCAAATTCATCGTAGTTTATTTCGACAACATCGTCATTTATAGCAGCAGCATGAAAGAACATGTTGAGTACTTGAAACAAATGTTTGCTATCTTGAGAACTAACAACCTGCATGTAAGGAAGGAGAAATGCGAATTTGACCTACGTGAAATCTCCTTTTTGGATATTGTGGGAGATAGAAGGATTCGTATAACCCTTAGAAAACTAAAGCAATTGTGGAGTCAAAAATACCAATATCACCATGAAATTGAGGTCGTTCATTGGGTTGGTAGATTACTACCGATGGTTCATTGCTGGATATTCGGCCATTGCTATTTCGTTAACTTACCTGCTGCGCAAAGGTAAGACGTGGAGTTGGATGTTCGAATGTCAGGCAGTATTTGAGACCTTAAAGGATGCGGTAATGAAGAAATCGGTATTGACACTGTCCAATTTTGTCAAGCCGTTTGAAATGTA